TTCATTTCAAGCGTTTTTATCCTACCATTAAACAACAACTTCATAAATGTTTGAGATGACTAGTACTAGCCCTTCCCAAGCATGCACTGATGTATAATCTAGTTGCATGAACATAGATATGCATATGTAAACATCGCGAATATAAAGGAAATTTTCCAAATGAGTAAATATATTCAGGAAAGAAAACGCTTCAAATGATTGGAAGATAATTTTACGCCATTCCTCGTTCCACGCTCCCTCTGCTACCTGAAATGGAAAAAAAGCTTGGAAAACAGAAAGTAACTCCAACAAAAATTCTTTTTCCCAACAGCGAAGCACAAAGCGAACATGACAACGTGGACCCTCACGATCCTTGAAGGGCCTATACATATAGAATGGTCGTTAAACTATACAGTAAGGGGGGAGCCCCTCATGCATTCGCCAAAGTTCTTTTGTGCTGTCACTCGACTATGTCGGTCAGTATTTGCTTACTGCATTTATTGTGTCGCAAATTTCAGTATCTCATGGAATGGTTGTATTTATCTTTATTTCCGCATCTTTCTCAAATTACAACTCAAAAAGATGGTTTAACTGGTTTATCCGGTGATTTCAGTTTTGATAAATTTGTAATTAATTTTATAATTTAGAAGGTCGGCAAAAGATTTACTGACAGCTAACTTGGTTGGAGTGTGAGAAGCTTAGAAGTTGCGATAACATTATTGTGGAAGATGAAGCTGATTACGAAAATCGTATCTATTTCTCAAAAGGGAACCTTGCCGCAGAATTGCGGTAAATAGGCTTTGTAGGGTTATAATTAATGATACTTTTGAAAACTGATTTACTAGGTGCTACAATGCAAGGCCTCCTGTGATGGTCTCCTCATCGCATAGCGGGGGTGACTCTGGATGTCGTAAGTACAACGAAGGTTTATCCTCCAGCAAGGTCTCCGAAGCTGAGAATGAGTTCAAAGTTCCCGGTTGTCCGGACGCCCAGCTAAGAGTAAGCCACGCCAGTCGTGGGTGCTCCCTGATCCACAAAGGTTAGCGATTGCCTGTGGTGAAAGCTTGGCAGGGCCCTGGCAAGGCACTGCTAATGTTTGGGGAGAAGTCCTTGCCCATACAGCATGTAAGAGGAAAAAAAGTCCTACACACTGGATCACATCTACGGCCTCGGATGTCACCAACATCAGC